GCCCCAAGTTGCCCCACTGTAGCTACGAGCCTGCTTCTAACAGCCATTCCTTTTCGGACAGAGCTGGCTAGGTGTGAACAAACTACTTCTCCACATTGCATTTGTGCCCTGGGCTCACCCCTTTTGGCCACCTGCAGCATTTATGAAGCAGCAGAAAGTATCTGATTTATTACAGATCCTGGCTTTTTAGAAAAAAATTGGATTGTAATGCTGCTTGGAGCTGAAGATATATGAACATATGAGGCTGGCTTATACTGAATCAGACCATTGGTCCATCGTAGTCATTGCTGTCTACTCAGACTGGCAGCAGGTCCCCAGGATCTCAGGCAGAAGTCTTTCACATCACCTACTACCAGATCCTTTAAGTGGAGATGTCAGGGCTTGAACCTGGGACCTTGTGCCTGCCAAGCAGATGCTCTACCACTGAGCTATCGCCCCTCCCCTTGTTCTGTGCTTGGAAGATGATACAGTTTTCTCCTCATTATTGTCATTTGAGAACAGCATGGAGTCTTCTATGCTTAACTAGGAGCTGGTTATTTACACACACTGAAAATCTGGAAATTCCAAGGGCAAAGCTTAAACTGCAACGAAATAGCAAATCCTGCATTGTTTACATTTTTGTCTTTGTGCCTGGCACGCTGAGATGAAACAGTGTACAAACTGAATCATAGATACAGGGGTCGTTTCGTAGAAAAAGAGCTAGGGGAACTCATTAGCATAACTCATTAGCATATGCCACACCCCCTGACATCACCGGAGGTATGTCATGAGGCCACACCCCCTGAATGCGCTCGCCCGCTTCGGGAGAGGGGATCAAAGTGTAATACAAGCCTCCTCCGAGACTTGATCACACCAATCTCAACTCTCTCTTGGGTCTTGATGCCTGCCAGTCATTCCCCCTGCCTGGGGGAAGCCGCGTTGGACCAAAATACAGTCCAAACTGTTGTAAGGAACACCCGTCCACCCTGAGCACTTACAGGATGTGTAAAATCACCATTTTACCCCAACTGGAAGCAGGAGCGGGGCTTTGTCATGTGCCCTGCCCCCGCACCTCACCCGGGGGAACTGCGATCCCCCGCGATCCCCCCCGAAATTACCCCTGCATAGATATGTAGTAAGAGTGCTGTAAAGTTACCATAAAATATATTGTGAGTAAAATGCATTTATGACCCCCCCTTTTATGACCCCACCTCTTATAAGAATGTAAGAAGAGCCCTGTTAGATCAGAGCAGTGGCCCAGGGAAGGAAAATTTTGAGATGGCGATGGATAGTACACTCCAAAGTTTGGCAGGAAGGAGAAGGGGACAGTTGAACTGGCCAGAAAACAGATCTGGGAAGTGCTGTGTGGTATGCTTTTTGCCCGCCTGTGAACTTGAAAGACCATTTGCATGTGAATCTGTGCCGGGGAGCTGAAACAGACAATGGGAGGAAACAATGAAGTGAGAGGAAGTTCTGTCAGGAAGCACTTGGTGGGTTGATGGCCTTCTAAAAGCACGCCAGGAAAGGAAAGGCTGCTAGTCGGACCAGATGCGCCTAGAATAGCACAGGGCATAATTTAATATAGCACCACAATGGACATACTACGTAATAAACTTCCTTATTCCCCCAGTGCAGGAATCTAAGCTTGGGAATTAACTGAAAGCCAGTTCTCAACCCCTGACTTTTTAAAACGCTTGTGTGCGTGTGAAGTTGAACTCTTCCACTTCTCTAAGGCGCAGTGACGAGAAGTGGGGATGATCTGGCTGAATCCATTTTTAATTTTATCAAACAAGGGCTGTGAGGAGGGGAAAGCTAGATCAGGGTTACAAGAAGGGAGGGAGGAGAGTGTTAATCGTTTCCCATCAATGCCATTTTTTTCCAGTTCCAATCACACACAGGGCTCTAACAGATCATTCTCCAGCCACAAGAGCATCTACTCCTGGTAACCATGGACTACAGCAATGACTGCATTTTTGTGAACGTTGTGTTCAGCATTCTGTGCATGTTTAAGGCATCTGTAAGTGCTAGAAGCCAGAGGTCTCCCTGCCTCTCCCCACCCCTGCCTGCCTGGGGCCAGGGAGGGCCTTCGCGGGGCTTCCTTGCACTCCCGCCGGCCTTGCAGGTCCACCGCCGGGCCCCTCATGGGGCTCGGCAATGGAGCTGCAAGGCTGCCACCGGCGGCCAGGACCGTTGGGGACGGGGTGTGTGGCCTTATGACATACTTCCGGTGATGTCAGGGGGTGTGGCATATGCTAATGAGTTATGCTAATGAGTTCCCCTAGCTCTTTTTCTATGAAACGACCCCTGCTAGAAGCATACTTAGAACTCAGGATAATCCAAAGGAACTGGTTGACAGTAGAGTCAGAACAGACACTCCCCCCCACACACAAAAAAAGTATTTTCCACAAAATTTGTAATTAAGTTATAGAACTTGCCACCAAAAGATGTGGTGATAGGCAATACCAAACGATGTGGTGATGGGCATTATCTTAGATGGCTTATTATTAAGAAATAGAGCAATTTAGCCAACAGATTACTGGTGGAAGGAACGTGGGCAGGCCCTGCACATCTGAAAACATGTGAGTTGACACGCATGTGTTTCAGGCGAGGAGACGTAGGAGAACGTTTTCCCAGAACACCCAGTTTAAGTGCGTGTGATTGGTTTCTGTCTGTGTGTGTGACTCTAGTGAGCAATCTATCTTGGGTTGGCTGTTCCCTTTTCACCCCCCTCCTACAGCCATTCCTGGGCCAAACTCTTGTGCTATCTGAGGGTGGGTTCAGAGCCCTTTAGACAGAGTTCTGAAGGACAACTCTCCGAACATCTACCAGCTATGATAGATAAATGGAGACTCCATATTCAAAGAAAGTATACCTGTGAATACCAAATACAGAGGTGGAAACGAAGAGGGGAGAAGGCTTATTTACCTTCATGGGCTGCTTGTGGGCTTTCTGAAGGATTCTGGCAAGCCACTGCTTGAAACAAGATGGGACAGGATGGGATCTTTGCTACAATCCAGCAATACTCTACATGTGTTTATATATTAATTTGAGAGTTAAAGCTGAATGTTTCAGGATTTGGGCAGGTTGGCTAAAACTTAGCATGGATATTGAGTATTTGAACGATCAGCATGACAGATGGATTTTGAGGATTTTAAAAAGGAGGCCTCATATTTTGCTTATAGTGGAAAAGAAGGTAGCAGTTTCTCCTAGGCATTTCTGAGAGCAACCTCCGAACTGCCAGCTTGTAGTGTTCCTCCAGATGCCAGCAACTCATCCATGCTGAACCATCTTGGTTTCTGTCAAGAAGCTTGTTAAGCAAATTGTATCTCCTGAAAACAAGACAAGGAAAACAAATTGCCTTGTTTCCAAAAGATACAGGGAACTTTAAAGTCGCCCTTATAGACCCCAGGAGGAGGAAAGAGAAGCAGGCACAACAGAGAAAACACACCGGAATCCTCCGCATTGTTGAACCTACAGGTGCTTTTGGAATTTTGAGAGAGGGTGCTGGACACCACCACAAAATGGCTGCCATGGTTGGTGGGAGCAATTGTAAAATGGCTGCCATGCCAAATGTCGGGAAGTTCCAGCCCAAATGCCCACCCACAATGGACAAATGACCACTTCCTGAAGACACAGCATCCTGGGCTCTTCTGGGCTCCACCTCCTGCATCAAAGAAGTGAGGACTGGCTCTTTGCTTTGGGAGAGAGATGCTGCACAGCCACAAATTCAGTTTCCAAAGGAAGGAGAGGATTTGCTCTCTGCACAGCTATGGGGAGAAGTGTCTATGGCCATACCCAAGATGCACAGTTGTGAGACACCTGCCTGGGGTGAGGCTCAGTGGATTGCTGGACAATCAGCTGGTAGGGAGCTGCCTGAAATGTCCCTTTGCCCCATTTTATTCAAGATCCTTTGAGATTTATCCCCACGTCTTGAGAAGCAAGCAAGTGTCCTTGGGTACCACGTTGGGTATCACTTCAGTAAGGTCAACTACCTATTGATGGGACTTATTCTACAGCAGTGCTTCTTAACCATGTCCATTTCCTTTCGCCCTGTCAGGGGAAGTCTACAAATCTTGGAATGCACTGCAGAAGTTCAGGGTGGTCAAATAGAAGGCATTTGGGATTCGAGGTAGCTAGTGACATTGGAAGTAATCTGTCCTCTTGCTTACCTAGTTTCCTGCATGAATCACCTTCAGTCTTAGAATGAAAAATAACTTCCATTGTCTTCAAAGCTAGTCAGCAAGGTCTGGAATGTGAAATTAATGTTAGATGTTTGTGATACAGGGACTATTGTGACAGTGAGGCAGATAGCTTGGCTGGATAACGTGATTATGCTGCAACTTTTGTGTTAACAGAGCTGTGGCACCTTAAGGACTAATAAATTTATTATGTCATATGCTTTTGTGAGCTGGAGTCCACTTTGTCAGATACACGAAGTGTTCTATTGGCAGACAGATTGATCATTATACCTGTTGTTTGTTCCTTGGATGTCCGCAGTATTGTTATTGAGTGCGTTTGACTGTCTTCTGTCTTGCTTCAGGTTTGTTGTACAATTCATCTTAAGTGATATTCTGTTGGTGTTATCATCTTCTGTCTTTTTAGTCACTACACCAGTTGCATTCCATTAGGGCAGCTGAATTTTTATTTTTATTTGCTGTGTATTTTAGGGACTGCTTTCTTTATTTGCGCAGATAATCCAGTTTGCTGGTCATAGATTATTTCTGTATTACACCAAACTGGGCCTGCCTTGCGGCATCAGGTCCAAATTCATGTTTGCGCTCCCCGACTGGAACACCAGAAGTGTGGTACAGCCCCCGAAAAACCAGCCACAGGACGGGGTGTTCCAAATGCAAAGCCCTAAATTTGACCCTAAATCAAACAACTGTACAGTATCTATTTATAGGTAATAGTTACAAGCCGTGTCTGCTTCCTCTGCGCATTACTGCCCTCAGTATTGTTTGTGCTCCCTAAAAGTTATAATATGAGATGTAATAATAATATGTCCATTGTCTGCTTTTCAGCTTCCCATTACTACAAGTACAAGCAGCAGTTCATCTTCCCAGGTAAGTTTCTCTAGAATGATGGCAGTGTTATGGGAAGTATCCTGCTCACACACTTTGTGCTCTGGCAGGTGGATACCATTGCCTGCATATTCAGCCCTGTCACCTGGCCCTAGAATACATCTTCCTCCCTCCTGCAAAAGTGCTTCCTTTTGGGGCAGCTCTCCTGGCAGTAACTGGTGCAGTTCTGGGGAGAATTGTAGGACATGGAAGGAAAGGGATGTGCTGAACTGAAAACTAGAGGAACTATTCTGAACTGGAACCTTGTTTCTTTCAGATGTTGTCCCTGAGACTCCCACCAGAGCACCCCAAGTTATCCTTCATCCAGTGAATTCTAACCCAATGTAAGTCACCGTAGTTTCTGCATATTCTTTGTTGCCAAGTCTTGCTCCTCTGTGTGAAGGCGCCTTCCTCTCCCTAATGGTGTAAACTGTCCTCTTATGAGAGGCAGTTATGGGTTATTCTGGGCAGGTTTCACTTCCAGGTAGTGCTCTATGTAACCACAGGCCATAAGAACATATTACAGGCCATAAGAACATATTGCATGCGTAGGATCAGGTTGCCCATGTGTTTCAAGGATGCACTTATATGCTTACCGGATAGCCTCCCACCTGGTGATCAACTGGAGGAAGAGAGAATGGTGCTGCAAGCTGTTTTTGGATCCCCATGGAGTAGCCAAGTGAAGTATAACTATGTCGAAATGAATAATTCCAGATGGATAGTTGTGTTCGTCTCTAACTTCTCATCAAGTGATCTCTGACTCAGGCACGTTGATGCTTGAATAAATTTTGTTAGACTTTAAGGGGCCCCTGGACTCCAGCTTTATTACCCATCTGAGTGGTAGTACGCATGTCCTGCAGAGGAGCAAAATATTATAAGGGGTGTAATGCTTGTTCTAGGAGCTGCGGTGGCTCAAGTGGTTAAGACGCTGAACTGCAGGCTGTGGAAGGTCGGTAGTTCAGCAGTTCGAGACCCGAGTGTGCCGCATGACGGAGTGAGCTCCCGTCTCTAGTTCCAGCTCCTGCCAACCTAGCAGTTCAAAAGCAAGAAATTGCAAGTAGATAAATAGGTACCACTTTGGTGGGAAGGTAACAGCGTTCCGTGCGCCTTGGTGTTTAGTCATGCCGGCCACATGACTACGGAAACGTCTTCGGACAGCGCTGGCTCTTTGGCTTTGAAACGGAGATGAGCACCGCAACCCTAGAGTTGGACTCGACTGGCTTTTGAGCAAGGGAACCTTTACCTTTACCTAATGCTTGTTATAAAGCATTCAAGATAAGAATTAAGGGGACTTCATATTGTCCCTTAGCAGTGAGAAGTTCCAGGGGCAGTGCCCACTGGGCTTAGTTCCCTTTGAATGACAGAGCAATGAAGACTTGCATTGCCTTCCTAAAAATAGCTTTATGTACAGATCTACCAGGACAACATAACTGGAGGCTAACCCAGCATCAGATCAGCTTTGCAGAGATAGAAAGTGCACATCAAGGTACTTCACCTTTAGTGAACTCACAGCTCTCTTCCAACCTATGTTTCTTTAAAGTTCCTCTATACCTGCTCCTTCTCTTACCTGTAGCATGCCACCTTCTCTAAGCTCCGGTAAGCGTTTTATTCAAAAACACAAAGTGATTCCTAGTTATCAGGAGACCATCTCCAAACCATTAGCTCTCATTGATGAAGCGTCAGCTGAGTATTCTGGATTATCAACCAGCAAAACCACCTAGCCAAAATCAATCAGCCATCCTAACAGCATGTTACAAGATGAAGCCCAAGTTGGTTGTGTTTCCACATTTTAGATTCTGCTTTCCATTGCACACTGTAAAATGCAAACTGGAATCTTTCGCCTCTTCTCTTCATGGGACCATCATATATATCTGGAGCTCCCTTCTGCATGATAGAAAAAGCAGTGAACAGCAGCATGGGCCCTCTCACAGTTTTTGTTTTTTTTGCCATTTGTTATAATTGTGTTTGATTGTAAAGGTCAGGGTGAGCCAGATGTGGAATGGGAAGTGCTGCGACGTGATGCAAGAGGCAGCCAGCCTGTCAGTCCCTTTGTAAAGCTCTCTACCCAAGCTGTTAGGCAAGAGTAATTGACTTCGGTGAGGCGAGAGCTCAGAGTGGCAGCTGCTTATGTGCGACAGATTAAAGAATCCCCTCAAACCCAAGCTTGGGGGTTAGAGATGAATTGCCAACCTGGATTCTACTTTAAAAATTAATGTGTTCCCCCCCCTTTTTCTTGCTGAAGTCAATTCAACTTTTGCTGCCACCTGTGTAAACTGCAAGCAAATGAATTCCAAGCAGCTTCCCCCTACCTTGCTTTCTTGCCCTCCCTCTTTGAGAGACCCTTGACAGCAGAGAACTGATTTCAGATGGCTGTCCTATGGAGTTAAAGACAGTGACATTGCCCCTACAGGAGAGGCTCACTTTCAGCTTAGCTCTTGAAAGTTCCTCTTAGGATTTAAGAGGAACTTGGGTTTATTTTATTTTATGTTTTCAGCCGTCTTGATAAACCACTGTTAGAAGTGGGATCTCTCATCTTCATTGTGAAATTCTTGGCATTTTGCAGTTATCCTTTGTGCCATTGTGGGAGAGCTCGAGCACAAAAATGCCAGAGGCTTGTACTTAAAGCAAAGCACAGGTGATACTGACCAAACTAGCAGTTGGCTGGGAGTTGCCAGCATTCGAAACGGCAGCTGGATTGTCCTTGGAAGTCTGCTGCTGAGGATCAGGATGCAGAACTGAAAGACAGAATTTAATGCATACTTGACGTGCATGAACAATATAAAGCAACCTCAGGAAGTTGCTGTTGTATAATTAGAATGACTGAGTAGCTCCTCATTGAGGCATAAGATTGCATGAGTCAGAGCCTGCTTCATCAGATGCATGAAGTGTTATACACAGAGGAAAGACTTGTAGATGCACAAGGCTAAAAAAGAAGAAGAAAAGAAAAATGGATGGGGGGAGAGAGTTGTTATCAGAACATAAGAAGAGCCTTGCTGGATCAGACCAGTGGGTCCATCTAGTCCAACGTCCTGTCCAACACAGGAGCCATTCTGTTCCTCTGGAGGTTGTGAAGAGAGGCCAGAAGGCCCAGCATTCCATGATGTGCTGCATTATATTGCAGAACACAGATGAAAACAGGATGCAATCAAAAGTATAAGCAGTACGAACCAAACCACTCCCAACTGTTAATGAATTGGCAGAAGGACATGAAAAATGTACCTAAACCTGTAAGGAGAGACTACAACCTTTTATAGAAAGCTATAGCTACTTCCGGGGCTGCAGCGGCTCAAGTGGTTAAGACACTGAACTGCAGACTGGAAGGTCGGTAGTTCAGCAGTTTGAAACCCAAGTGCTGCATGACAAAGTGAGCTCCTGTCTCTGGCCCCAGCTCCTGCCAACCTAGCAGTTCGAAAGCAAGAAATTTCAAATAGATAGATAGGTGCTGCTTCGATGGGAAGGCAACAGCGTTCTGTGCACCTCAGCGTCTAGTCATGCCGGCCACATGACCACGGAAACGTCTTCGGACAGCGCTGGCTCTTCAGCTTGGAAACAGAGATGAGCACCGCATCCCTAGAGTCGGATTTGACTGGTTTGTGAGCAAGGGAAACCTTTACTTATAACTAAGTCCAGGTCCTGTTGAACCCAAGTTTGATGGTGCCAAATGTGCATATGAATTCCACCTTGTAGAGCACTCCTTTCAAAAGCTCTTAGGTGAATTACTGCAGCCATTAGGAAGTTGACATTCTTCCCCACTTGTTTCGAGGTGCCCCAGACCAACTTATGTTCCCCACAGCCATGCCGCAGCTGCAGGGAATGTCATTTTAAAAGTCTGTGTGGGAACTGTTGGGTGGGTCTCCTGCAACCTCTCCCCCTTGAGCCATTTTCCTGAGCCTAAACAACGGGGGGGGGGAGTTATTTGCCCTGTTTTGGAGCCATGCATGCATGGAATATAGCACATTAGAGCACACTTACCTTTAGAAATTATATCATGTAGTTTGACCCTAAGAGGTGCAGCAGAGTTATGAGTCAGTCTGGCATGGATCCAGGTGCTTCAGCCCAGCTGTTTTATGGTGGCTGGCTTCACATCACAATGGGCTGAACAGAGCAAACTTCGTCATTAGGCATTTCACATACGTTATCTTCTTTCAGTCCTTGCCAGCAACTCTGTAAAGTAGGTTAGCGTTACCACCTGTGCACTGCAGATGAAGGGGTGAAGGCAAAGAGTGGCTTGCTTAAGGCAGAGGTGATGGCAGAGGTGGGATTCGAACTGGGGGATTTACTGATTGATAGCTCTGTGTCTCAGCCATTCCACTCTACCAACTTGCTGCCTCTTTTGCACTGACTCCTCCATCCCTGTGTGCCACTATAAGAAATGAGAGTTCTAGTCCACTTTGGGTTGGAATTCGTTTCCTTCAGGTGTAGAAAAAATATCTCAAGCCATGGGTGGGTGTGACTCCAGATTTCTATCTACTCGTAGACCCAGGCTCCTGCTTCTCTGAGCCACATAAACAAGAAGGAAAAAGCTGTTGAATAAGACCCTAAACCAATATTGTAATCAATGACACTAGGAAAATTCAAATATATATTGTAAAGCAAAATCCAAAAAGCATGGCAATACAATGCAAACAAAGTGATATACAATCACTGACAAGGAATATACCATGTGCAGTCTGATTGGAATGATATGGTGACGAAAATCCCAGGTATGCCCTTCGTTCTGAATATCTTCTTCAGAGAGAAAGATATATACATGCTTTAAAGAAATGAATAATAATATAAAACGTAGAAAACAGCACAATATGTGTGCAATATAGTAGTAAATCTACTACAACAAAAATAAGATGAAATACCATTTGTAGTGTTCTGTATCTATGAGACTATATTAAAGTCTTTATGAAAACTCTTGTGTTCAGTCTTCTCTATGAGAATTTCTGTTAGGAAGACACAAGATGCCAAATATAATATATCTGTAATCCTATAGTAAAATAGCCAATTAGCACGTAAGTAAACTCTGAGCCACGGGATTTGACAATATGTTGAACCAGCCCCTCTAATACACAACTTGAAGAGAAGAAGACCAAGCAAACAAATAATATTATGTGGGCATCTTCTTGTGAGCGCTTGGAGGCTTACTGCAATCTCTGGCTACAAGGCCCCGGGAGGTTAGCTGGCAATCAATGAAGCAGAAGTGAAAAATTGAATCAGCAACTGCATATATTCCACTGCAGTTAGTGGCTAATAATGCCTGTTTTCAAGGAAAGATAAGATCCAAAAACCTCTCCAGATTGAACTGAACCCCAAGGGTGAGACCATGGCCCTGGCATGTTAGTCAGGATGCCCGAAACAGAGTTTGTCTGTCTCTATAATGTGGATTCAGGTTTATCCCTGTCTCTGCTGCTTAAAGCTCTATATTTAATTTATATCCTATCCATAGGAACTTGTTTAGGCCTCATTGAGGCAGGTATGTCCACCAGCGGCACAATGATTTGGTAGAATGGTTTGTACCATTTCAGTTTGCACATGGGGGAAATCACATTTTTTGAAAGCTCCCCATGTTGGAAAGAAGATTCCCTGCAACTAGAGAGCCAGCACTAAGATAGAATATGTGGAATGCTTAGGTGAAGCACTGTATAAGTAGTACACGTTGTTTGTTTTTGGAGATAGTAGTGTTATTTAAAGAAGCCATTCATGAAGGAGGGCAAAAGCTCTGCAGGAATCTATCATGTTTTTATCCTGTGCTTCCTCTAGACTTTGCCTCTGTCATATTTGCATCCTGTATTTCCCCCATGGAGTTTGGGTTGGCACCTTTGAATATAGTGCTCTCTCTTTAGTTTCTCAGCCTTCATCAAATGTTGGTAACATTCTGCAAGCCTCTGTGAGGTCTCATTTTCCTCCTGTCCCCCTTTCAGCCAGAAAGCTCAGATTCCATAGGGTAGCACCTGTCAAATTTCTGCAGCAAAACTGCGGATGCACGGAACAGCTGTTGCTTTGATTATATTAAAAAGAGCCCTTTTGAATCAGGGCAAAGGCCCACTTAGTCCCAAGATGCTTCCCAAGATGCTTCCAGGAATCCCAAAATTAGGCCCTGAAGGCATCCTGGAGGTTCTGTTTAGGGTTTCATGGCTGACAGCCACGGATAAGGCTTCTGCTCCATGAACTGACTAAATCCACTTTTAAAGCCCTGGGAGCCAGGGGACATCATGGCATCTTGTGATGAATAGTGATTTATGTACGTGAATTGCTGGCAGGGCTATTTTTGGGCAGGAACGCACAGGAATGGAGTTCCGGCTGGCTCCTGAGTTGGCCACACCCAGCAGGAACTCATTAGCATAATAGGCCACACCCAACAGCAGAAACTCATTAGGATTGGCTACATTAGGGGTGTGTGGCCTAACATGCAAAGGAGTTCCTGCTACAAAAAAACCCTCTGGGTTTTGACAACAAAGTAAACAGAATAAGAAGCAAAAGATGGGTGTGGCTGGATATCCACACTTCTGGTAACGTGGGGGTGTGGCCTAATATGCTAATATGCTGTGCTGTCAAGGGTGTGGCCTATTATGCTAATGAGTTCCTGCTGGGCTTTTTTTTTTTTTTTTACAAAAACCCCCCTGATTACTGGGTTGTGTGGAGTGCTTCTTTTTTGCCTGTCCTGAAGCTTCTGTCCATCAGTTTCACTGAGTGATTCCTCAGTTCTGCGGAGAGAAGGAAGGGGGGTGGATCTCTGTCCACTTTCTGATAATTTTCTAAACCTCTGTCATGCCACCTTCCTACCTTTTAGTTGTCTCTTTTCTAATTTAAAAAGCCTCAAATGTTTTAGCTTCTTTCTTCTAAGGGAAAGCGCTTTGATTGTTTGATCCAAAGATGGCTATGAAAAATGATAGAAGGAAGGGGCAGGCAGTCAAACAAATGTCATGTGAGCCCTACATAATTCTGCACAATAAACACAAGCTCAGGACTCAGTCCTCACACACACAACATTATCCCCAGATGGAAATATTAGTTGCCAGTATTTCTTTACATTCTGTTTGTGATCAGGAAACAAAACTGATCTTTGAGCTGCACAAAGAGATAACGGCTATACAGATTGGATTGTGTTACTTCTCAACATCTGGGGTACTATGGATCATTACCCCAGTCCCAAAAGTGTCTGGGAGTTTAATTTCACACACACAAACATGCAAGTGAACATACATATGATTTCCATGCCACTCACGTATGGGGGAAAGGTGCATTTGTAGGGTGCAAGATGTTTCTGTGCAGAGACAAATTACAGTCCTCCAAGGAAGGCTCATCAGCCCTACCTTTGATGACAAATGTGGGGGAGACACTCCCATATTGAGGGCAAAAGCAACTCTCCTGGCAGTAAGAGACTTGGCATGGCCCTACAAACAAAGATCCCTCAGGTAGGTAGCCATGTGACTCCACATGCTGAGTGCATAAAAACATATTGCAGTCCCTGAAGGATCCCCGTCAACAGTGTTGTCCTTACCGCTACAATGTTTTCAAGGATTATGTTGGCAGGGGTTCTTGGGGGTATAGGACACTATGTGTGGTATAAACTGCACCCCGCAGATATTGCCTTTTTATTATAAAAGTCCTTCCGCCACACAGATCACCCTTACCTGTCATTATGAAGGGCATTTTCCTACTAAATAAATAAATCATGTGTGAATCATTGAGTCCCCTGTGCGGTTACGTAGGTTAAATAGTCATTTTGCTTCCAATAGAAACCTTAATTGTGCACCTACCGTATGTCAGAAAACCAACGGATGTTGAGCGATTATGATATATGCAGGAACAGGTATTTTGACTGGCTTTTCGTCAAGTGCATTCATAAGAAAAGTGGATCTAGTTATATTTTTCCACTGAGCTCCAAATATATTGTTGCTGTTCAGCACAATTATCTGTGCTGTGTTTGGTTTGCTTTATAAAATGGGGCCATTTTTATGACCTGGGAACTCCTTTGTTTTGTAGGTTATAAGCCTTTTAGCAATGACCTCTTAGATTATTGGAGGGCAAAAGAGAAGGAATAGTTTGGTATCATTCTTTTTGTCCTACCTGTTTTAAAGCTGCAACCATTCATTATTTTGAAGTTAAGCAATTTCCTAAGATTGTACCCAAGTCCTCTGAAATTTCAGGAAAACTTTCTTAGAGTTTAGTAACTCCTGCCATGAAGGATAAATAACAACAGAGTGAGAAACCTGGATTTGGATTCAGACTAATTTTTCTGTTCACAGAACTTTCCTGCCTTCCACTGATCTCCATGAAATGCTGCTCCCTGGGGACCCTAAGGATGGGGGGGGGGCTGGCAGCAAGAAGGGGAATTGGTAGAAGTTGTCACTTTAATTTGTGGTGAACATGTGTCATATTCAGCAGATGAGCTGAGGCAGGATCTGGTCCAGGATAAGAGCTGAACAACCAGTCAGTGAACAGAGAATATATTTTATAACAAGAACAACCAATGGCCTACATCGCCCAGTCAAACGGCATAATATTCTGGATTCTTAGGCCAATTTCTTGCTGAATTCTGATGTCCTTTAAAGGAAGAAATTGATTCTGGGGCTGAACTGGGGGTTGAGGATAACAGGGCACTGTCAGCCTGGAGTTTAACATAGTCTTGCAAGCAGGGGTCATTTCCAGCAGGAGCGCTCAGGAGCGGAGCTCCGGCAGTAAAGAGCCCAGGGAGTGGGCACATGCAACAAGCCCCACCCCCTGCTCCCAGCAGCCCTCAGTCAGAGCAAGAAGCAGCCAGGTAAATTGCAGAGCCCCCCCCCGGTCCAAAACAGTCCAGTGGCACCTTTAAGTCCAAGTTTTATTCAGGTACAAGCTCTCCCTCCTCTGCGAGGACAGATCTGCACATCCCCCCCCCAATAGCTAGCAATCCAAAAAAGTCCAGTGGAGCCTGAGCGGTGGGTGTTGCCTTCTGACACACATCCGGTGATGTCAGGGGGTGTGGCATATGCAAATAAGTTATGCTAATGAGTTATTCTAATGAGCTCCTGCACCTCTTTTTCTACAAAAAGACCCCTGCTTGCAAGTAACTCCAGAAAAAGTCACCGGCCTGCATAAAAAAAGTTAATAGCTTGTCTGCCCATGCATACCTGTATTAATAACTAGTTTCACAATAGATCCAGGTGGGCAGCCGTATTGGTCTGAAGCAGCAGAACAAAGTTTGAGTCCAGTGGCACCTTTAAGACCAACCAAGTTTTATTCAAGGTATGAGCTTTTGTGGGACTTTTACCTTGAATCAAACTTTGTTGGTCTTAAAGGTGCCACTGGACTCAAACTTTGCTCTAGTTGCACAATGACAGTCTAAGGTCCCGGTCACACAGAGGATTTGCCCCGCAAAGGGGATGGATTGAGGGCGCATCAAGCAGGCGCGATCATACCGCAACATATGGGAAGCGTAGCTCACTCGTCTCCAACTCGCGATCATACCGCAACATGTGGGAAGCGTAGCTCACTCGTCTCCAACGCATACCGTCGGCCGGAAGAAGCGGATTTAAAAGGCACTGGGGAAAAGGTAGTAGCTTCCAGTAAATGCGCGGCACAGGCGGGCATCTGATCGGAGATGCACCGGTAGCCCATGGCATCCAGCAGCCGTCCATGACCCGTGCATGCGCAATAACACAGTACTGCCGTGTTGCCTCGCTGGGACTATGCTGTTGCCTCCCTGGTGTGATCGGCTGCCGACGGCCTCAGGACAGAGCTGCGGGGCACTGTAAGATCGTGCTCCTGGGCTTCTTTTAGCTCCACCTCTAAAATGCCTCCCTTCCAGTGCGGATTTTCCCGCTCGTGTGACCGGGGCCTAAGAAGCAACAATAAATAAATCATCTTGCAGTATAGAAAACATCTCCATTTTGGTTACCTGTTCTTACTTGTCAGAGGTGATGAAGTGATCACCAGTGCCATCCTAAGCATTTAAGTCCGCTGAAGTCACTATGCTTAGAAGGGGTGTGCCTCTGCTTAGGATAACACTGTCCATGTCTTGAAGGAGGACTGTGTGTATTAGGGCATAAATAGCACTGTTTATGGCTTTCAAGTCTTGAGTAATGTTCAGTGTTTGTTTTTCTTTGAAGCCTGGAAGGAAATCCATTACTTCAAATTGAAGTGGAGCCAACCTCTGAGGTAAGGTGCACCCAACAGTTTATTGGCTCTCTGTTCTTTAGGTGGAACAAAAAGGGAAGCTGTAAGGAGTGAACTTGGTTAAGATCTCAGCAAAGCATTAATTATCTGGCTTCTCTGGGAAGACACATTTTTTTAAAATAGGCCACCCTATCTTGAGACACCTCTTGTGTTGACCTTGCTGTGCCTAAACATCCCTTTAGGACTCATTAAAATTGGCGTTAGTGGATCTGTAAGTCACTTTCTTTTTTTCTGTGACCATATTGAATTTAGAACTGGTGCACACGATTAACCTGCTCACGGCAGCTGGTTTTTTCCCCCGGGCCCACTAAACCTGTTTAGTTGTGGCAAATGGGCCATCTGTCTTGTTGGTTACGAGGAGAAACTGAAATTCTGTAAGTCACTGCAAACTTCCTCAATATGGGCACAACAGAGGGGGAAACATCAGCTTCTGTTCTTGGTTAATGAGTTAGCAGCTGCTATAGACAGAAGGGAAAAATTGTCTGCTGGCATGTATAAGAAGATGACGTGAGCTGGGTTTAAGTATTATCTTGAGTTGCATGACAATGACTTTGTTGGATCAAACCAAAGAACCACCTAGTCTGGCTCTCTCACTTTGATGATGGCCAACGAGATGCTTCAGAGAGGTTCCCAAACAGAGCATAAGTATACTCTCAGCATTTGGCAATCTTCACATGAACACATGAAGCACCCTTGCACTGAATCAGACCCTTGGTCCATCGGCAGCTCTCCAGACTCTCAAGCAAGAGGTCTTTCACCTACTGCCTAATCCTTTTAACTGGAGATCCAGGGACTGAACCTCAGACCTTCGGCACTGAGCCACAGCTCCTCTCTAGAGATGTGAAGGAGCAGAGGGGGGAAAACAGGAAAAAATTAAGGCTGGTTGTTTTCAGTTTTTCTGATGGAAAAATTGGGAATTTTGAGGGAGTACTGGAAAAAAAAATCCTATGAAATATTTTCTCTTTCAGAATGAGTTAAATGCTTTCAAAGACAGAGTGGGCATGCTGTAAACTTACACAGCTCTTAAATTCAAGATGCATTTTTGCACCTGGAAGGATACTTGATTTTATGGGGGAAACCTGCAGGGCTTTCACTGCTTTTCAGTTGCATACCTTCTGTTGTCCTTTTGATCTGATATGGTTGACCTTTTCACCTCTCCCTCAAACCACTGTGGCACATATACCCACAGGTTGGGTAACAAGTAGTTTATTGCCATACCCAGCTGGAGGGAAAAAGAGATCAGAATGAACAAAGCTCTCTCTCTAACCAGGTAGCAAAAATCAAGGTACATCTGCTAAGATAGCATAGCGTGCATCAGCTTGCAGTTTTCTTTCAAGTACTGAGTATATAAACTAGGCCATTTATAACCTTTAAAGTCCATAAATATGTCAAATGTTGCAATTTTATATGCTCAGTGAGTTATAATCAATGCATTTTATGCAATTTTATATGCTCAGTGAGTTATAATCAATGCATTTTATGCAATAAAACTAGTTTAGGTTTGATAGGACAATACGTATTGCCAGGGCTATTTTTGGGCAGGAACGGAGTTCCGGCTGGCTACCAAGTTGGCCACGCCCAGCAGAAACTCATTAGCATAATAGGCCACACCCAACAGCAGAAACGCATTAAGATTGGCTACATTAGGGGTGTGTGGCCTAACATGCAAAGGAGTTCCTGCTACAAAAAAAGGCCCTGGGTTTTGACAACAAACAAGGTAAACAGAATAACAAGCAAAAGGTGGGTGTGGCTGGATAACCACACTTCTGGTAACATGTGGGTGCGGCCTAATGTGCTAATGAGCTGGGCTGTCAGGGGTGTGGCCCAAGATGCTAATGAGTTCCTGCTGTTGGGTGTGGCCAATTATGCTAATGAGTTCCTGCTGGGCTTTTTCTACAAAAAGAGCCCTGCGTATTGCACATATTTTAGTTTTTCCACATATACCGGGGTGTGTGTGTTCTTTTCCTGAAAAAGAGACTAAGGAAAAAGTTTTTCCCCTCATGGTTTCAAAATTTCTGGAAATTTTATATCTCTATTCCTCCCCTGCCCCTCTTTACTGTTTTCAATGTATTGAGCCTCCATTTGTAGCTACCTCTGCTAACAGCCATTGGTAGGGTTATCCATCAAGCCTTTATCTAATAATTTAGAGACAGCTTACAAACAGTATTGATAAAATAATTTCCTAAGTATCTTTAATAAGTATGCGATGCTGTAAGTCAGAGATCTCCAACTTTTTCTTTAATGAGAGCTACTTCTATGTAAGTAAAAATATTCCAAGCTACTAAAGTGTACATGGATGCGTGTGCACACAGACACGCGCAGAGAGAAATGTCAGGTCAGTAGATTGGGCCTTCCAAGTCTTTGGGTCTTGTGAGAACATTCTCTCTTGTGATCGTTTCCCAGGTCTTCTAGGGGCTGCATGAGCTACTGTTCAGCAGCTAGCGAGCTACTGGCAGTTCAAAAGCCACCTGTTGGAGACCACTGTATAAAAGTTAACTTGAATGGCTACACCAGGTGGGCTTTGTGATGCTGTGTGTTTCTAACAGTGTTTGTACCTACAAGACATATTGGAGTAAGTGTACGTGTGTATGAAGTTTGTGGGGGGAATAATAGGAGAGAAAGGTTATGACGAGTGATATGCCAGGATTATCCTGTAGCTGAACCTCTCCTTTACCCCTTCCCCAGAACGAAGAGGCACATGAAGAGGAGTCAGAGGATGACTTTGAGGAGATGAACCTCTCACTCCTGTCAGCCCGCAATTTTCCACGCAAGGCCAGCCAGACTAGCATTTTCCTGCAAGAGTGGGACATCCCTTTTGAGCAATTGGAAATTGGTGAATTGATTGGCAATGGCCGCTTTGGGCAAGTGTTTCATGGCCGCTGGCACGGCGAGGTGGCCATCCGCCTCATTGACATTGAGCGGGACAATGAGGACCAGCTGAAGGCCTTCAAGCGGGAAGTGATGGCCTATCGGCAGACGCGACATGAGAATGTGGTGCTGTTCATGGGTGCTTGCATGAACCCTCCCCACCTTGCCATCATCACCAGGTAAGCGCAATTAAACAGCAGCAATGGAAGTAGCGTGGGGAACATGTGGGTTCCATACCCACAATGGCTTTCCCTTATACCTCCTTGCCATCATGTTTTCCCTTACCAAACATTATCTCTTAGGGTGCCTTTCCCCAGGACCATCTCTCATAAGAACATAAGAGACGCCAATGTTGGATCAGGCCAAGGCCCATCCAGTCCAACACTCTGTATCACACAGTGGCCAGAAATACCAGGTGCCATCAGGAGGTCCACCAGTGGGGCCAGGACATTAGAAGCTCTCCCACTGTTGCCCCCCCCCCAAGCATCAAGATGACAGAGCATCACTTGCCCCAGAGTCCCTATCTATACCTTGTGGCTAATAGCCACTGATGGACCTCTGCTCCATATGCTTATCTAATTCCTTTTTGAAGCCGTCCATGCTTGTAGCCGCCACCACTTCCTGTGGCAGTGAATTCCAAGTGTTAATCACTCTTTGGGTGAAGAAGTACTTCCTTTTATCCGTTCTAACCCGACTGCTCAGCAATGTCATGGAGTGCCCACGAGTTCTTGTATTGTGAGAAAGGGAGAAAAGTACCTCTTTCTCTACCTGCTCTATCCCATGCATAATCTTATAAACCTCGATCATGTCACCCCTCAGTCGTTGTTTCTCCAAGCTAAAGAGCCCTAAGCGCCTTAACCTTTCCTCATAGGGAAAGTGTTCCAACCCTTTTATCATTCAAGTTGCCCTTTTCTGCACTTTTCCAAAGCTATAATATCCTTTTTAAGGTGTTGGTGACCAGAATCTCTATCTTGATTCACATTCTGGCATATTAACTTCCTCCACTTCCCACCAGTTGATGAGAAAATAGCTTGATGGGGGCAGTTTTAAGCTGATTGACAGTAGGAAATGTGACGGTTAAACTGCTTAAACACGTGAAGCTGCCTTAGACTGGATCAGGCTGCTACTCTATCAAGGTCACTATTGTTTACTCAGACTGGCAGCACCTCTTTAAGATCTTGGGTCTGTCTTCCACATCACCTACTACTTGTGCCTTTGGAGATGCTGGGGACTGAACACACACCTCTTTTTATTTTTTGTGCATGCCTATATTGATATATTGATATCTTGGCTGCATTTATTTTAAAATGGCATTAAAATATCAGTATACTACTATAATGATGGGTCAATTAGGTTTTCTCAGTTCCCAGCTTTCATTTTTCTAGGTAAGTCTCTATCCTCTTCCCTTGCAGAGATATAAGGAAAAAGGCAAGGGAAGAGCCTAGATACTTAGGCTGCGGTTACACACACTAAATAATCCACTTTCAGTTCACTTTCATTGCACTTTCCAACTGGATTTTGCCAGTTCACACAGTAAAAATCCAGTTGGAAAGTCCACTGAAAGTGGATTGAAAGTGGATTATTTAGTGTGCGTGACTGCAGCCTTAGTGTTTCTTTATTTAAAATGAAACCCGGGAATTCAGAGAACGTGCATGGCCTATCATTAGAGCAGTATACTGATATTTTAATGTGTGTGTGTTTAAAAAAAAAATGCAGTGATGATATCGATATAAGCATGTACAAAAAATTTAAAGTGTGTGTGCTTTGATACCACCAATGACAACAGCATCCTCCCTGAAAATAATAAACTGACTTCATAACTGTGAAAATGCAGAGGGAGGGCAGACGTGTGAAACAACTGTGCCGAAACCAATTCCAATGCTTGTGGATTGATGGTCAACAAAATCAGGAGTAAGTCAAGTCTGAGCAAGAGCCACCTAATACTTAGATGCTTGTGAGAGCAGCAAAATGTTCCCCTGGTCCTGCAGTTTCTCGAAATGTTCCCCTGGTCCTGCAATACTATTCTGTATCCCATTGGGGCTTCCCTTTTCCTATCTGTCATAGAAGTACAAATCCTCCAGTGGTCCTGATTTTTCCAGATCACTCTCCCTGTTTCCCAGCATTTAATCATAATTTTGGGGGATTTGGAGTCATTGTGTTAAAAAAAACACCCTTTTGCTAGAGTTGACATTCTTCAGGTTCCAGCTTCCACATCATTCAAAGTTCAGGCTTTGAGGAACAGATGCTTCTTGACTCTAGGGCTCATGCCAGAAGTAAATGCACATAAATGCAAGTGTTACAAAAAACAACAACAACAACAACAACAACTGGACTGTAAATGTTGCTGAATAGGTCTGAGTAGCAACTATTCCATAAGTGTAATCAGATCCATTGTGAGATGACTTTTTCATAGTATCCACACAGAGACAGACTTGGGGGGTTTCAGCAAGTCAGTAAATAAAGCTATATTTTCAGATATGTAAATAGACTTTCTTATACCATCTTTTTGCTGATCTCATGGTCTGAATTTTAACATAATTTAGCTCATTAATTATAAAAGGTTGCTGACCTACTGTACGATGTCAACAAGAACCAAGAGAAAAGGTGGTGTCTTTCTGGTCCATTGAGGCCAGGAATGACAATCAGTAGTTGGTTCAGGATAGACAAAAGAAAGTAGTTATTCACACAAGGCTTTAATTAACTTATGGAGTTCACCATTGCCTGATTCGGTGGTGGCCACTGAATTAAATGGCTTTTAAGGAGGATTAGAAAAATCTATGAAGGACAGGGTGTTTCGGAATACCAGATGCCAAGGACAGAAGGCAAGGCCCTAATCTCCACTCCCTGATAGTATAAATGAAGTAAATAAATAAACTAAACCCCACCTTTCTCTCCAATGTGGACCAAAAGTGGCTTACTTCATTTTCCATCTTATCCTCACAACAACCTTTTGAGAAAGGTTAGGCTGAGAGTGTGCGGCTGGCCACAGTGACATCTTTTGAGCTCCCAGGTAACAGGGTGCTGGCCCAGGTAGATTTTTAGTGTGTTTCGGCAGTGTTGTTTTCGTGCTGTCATGGTAATTGCAGTGGTGGCTTTGGACTCATGACAGCATAAGGAAAAGGCAATACGGTGCTATCACAGGTACTGTTTTTACCAAACTTGAAGGGCTTGCGTGGGCTCATGTGGTGGTCTCTGGTGCTCCTTTCGTTAAGGAAGGAGGTGGAGGAATGAGTGGGAGGAGGGGAGAGCTGTGTTGCAGCAGCAGAAACAGGCATGCAGAAAGACAGAATCTTTTCATATACGTGTGTGGTTTTTAAAAATGTATCTGGAATCCTCCTCGAGAGTAGTAGTGGCTCCTGAGAGTGAAGGTTGTAAATATTTGAAATAAATAATTTGCCAAGCTGTATTCAGGTGTTCAGCTGTTAGAAATAATGTGATTTAAAAGTATGATTGCCAACCTCCAGGTGGGGTCTGGAGATCTGGAATAATTGTTCATCTCCAAATTACAGGGATCAGTTCCCCTGAAGAAAATGTCGGCTTTGGAAGGGTGGACTCTATGGCATTATACCTGCTGAGTTCCATCCGCTGCCCCAGCCTCACCAGGCTTCCACTCCCCAAATCTCCAGGAATTTTCCACTCCAGCATTGGCAACCCTATTTAAAAGGGTTCTTCTGGGGTTCATACCAATTAGAGGGATGCCAGTTTCCTTTGTGGCAGAGGTTTAAATTTGATGGGATGGTCATCCTCCTCGACCGAGTGCGCAGCTTCGAGAAGGACGCACATGGAGTAGTGAGGGAGGTAGGGGACGCCCGCCTAGCCAGTCAGATCAGCCGAATCAACCCTGGCGATCAATGGGGTGACAGATGTCACAGCCAGATCACCCTAATTCACTGATTATTGTGAATTGATATTGTTGTTGGCTTTGCCGTAATAAATGATTGGGTTGGATGGGGGAGAAGGCTTTTGCAATCGCAGCCCGTGTCTTCATGCGTATGTACTATCTTGATGTCTGGAACCTTGATTCTATAAAAGTTAATGGTGGAGCAATTTCTGAATAGTTCCCAGATTCATTTCCCTGAGTGCTGTGTTCATCCTGGTCCTGTCATTTCCAAACCTAGTTTGTTATGATCATTGCACTCAGGGTTCTTGAGAATGCCACATGGACAGGAAGTTGCACATTTTTGGAGATCTCACTGGCCTTGACACAATTTTCGTTGCCTTAGCCTACATTGCTGGCATTCCCAACCCCACCCCTGGAGGGCTTTTAAATTGGTAATTGACAGATTATTTATAGTACAGTAACATTTAATGATATATTGTTAAAATCTACTAGTTCCCTGCTTTCATTCTTTAAAACAAGGTAAGTCACTCTATACCCCTTTTGTTGAATAGTTATAAGCTGAAGTGTGCCGACTGAGACAAGGAATGTTCAGGGGAAATGGTGTGTAGATGCTCTATTGCCAGTGTGAATGCCTCTGAATTTGCAGCAGCAAGAGCTACAGGGGGGATCGTTGCCATGTGAAAACAGCCCAAGCTGTTTTTCTCTTCTCAGGAAGAGAAGCAGCAGGTGGGGGTGATAGTCCTTGATACCAAACTGTCTCTCTAGAAAAACCGACATTCTGCATGAGTTGTTTCCTGCAAGGTGAGTGAGATTAGAATTTGGGGGGGGGGTCTTCAGAATGCCTAATAGATTTCCCCTTGGGGAATTAACAATGTGGGCACTTTGCATTAATCTTAATTAGTTTTCAAGAACAGGAGATTGAATGCTGAGTGGCACTCGGTGCTCTGAATGCCACGGAAGAGGTGGCAGGAAACGGCCACCTGAGCTGGCCCTGCCACTGTGCATTGCACCTTCTCCTTGTCAGTGGTTTACCCATGGCAGTCAATGACAAAGACTTGCTGTACACTGTTGTACTGGGGACATGTGCCTCTGCAGCTCAGCAACATCTGAAAGGTAAGGAGGATGCAGAGGTGGAAAGGAAAGACTCAGAGAGAGAGAAAGGGATTCTGGAAGAGGAGGCCAGCATGAAAGACGGGGGGAGCCATCCAAGTGGTGGAAGGCAACTGTATTTTCCACCAGGCCCAGGAGCAACTTGAAGCACCAGAGTGGAGCCAAGAGCTGGAAAATATTGTTGTTGCCTGGGCAAAGCCCCAGCCTGGAAGCCTTTCATCATTTTTC